CAGATATTTACATTAAAAAAATGCAGAGAAAATTCGTGATGTTCAACATCTCAGGGAACGAATAGTCAATTGTGTGGCAACCGTCCCCCCAGACATGCTCGCCAGGACATGGGAAGAGGTAGAATACCGTTTAGACGTCTGCCGTGCCACTAACGGGGCTCATATAGAACTTTACTAAGTGTTAAAAAAAACTTGAAAATGTAAGCTTTTCAGTCATGTATAAAACATGTATGTATGTTTTTTATTTCATTAAAATATTTTGCCTCAAAACCCCGGAGTTCTTTTATAGACACCCTGTATATATATAAATAGCGTTTTCAAGCACCTTTATAGAATCTTTACTACCAGTTTTTTCATTTTTCCCAGGCTGAAGGAATTTCTAATATTTTGAGTATTTATGGTAATATACTCACAATCTATGCATTTATGATTAAATGTCCAATTGTTGCGGTTTGCGGAAAAATATTTTTTAGTGGTAGTAAAACTCACGCATGAATGAATGAATGCATGGTTGACCCAGGGGTGAAGGCGAGACGGAAAAGAGGAAAGGCTGGTAGTAAAACCATTTCAGTTATAGCTAGTTTTGGGGAGTAGTTTACTTATTCTTTTTTTTAAATTTCTCAACAATATCTACTTTATCTTGGAAAAGAAGCAGTTTTATATATATGCCAGAATTATAAAAGAAATCTTGATAGTTACAGATATTTCATTTTTTTCGAAAAAAATGCTGGAATGAAATGTTTTACGTACCAGGTTTTTCTCTTTTCCGTCTTGCTATATAAGGGCTTTCACCCATGGGTTGAAAAATCAAAGTATCTACCGACTGAAGCAAAAAGGTCTTCAAATGGAGCTGTTAATTACCACTTCATTTTAAAAACTAATTTCCATACTCAATCAGACACGTTGGAGTAATTGAATCTTAAAAATTGGAAGTAGTTGCATCTCAAATCATTTTACCGTCAGGCTGACAGCTGGAGATTTTCGTGCAAATGCCGATTAGTTCCTTTAAAAAGTCCACCTCGAAGGATAATTTTTTCCAAAACTTGATTTTAGAGACCAATTGACTTCTAGATTATGTTCAAAATTGCAACGCTACGGAGTAGAACATTGGTAGTCGCAAACTCAAAATTGGGTCAGCTGTTTAGCGATGACTATAAAACAAAATATGCCACTTTGTTACTAGCGTACTGCTATCTTATGGCAAGGAATAGGTTAAATTACCACCTGAAGAAGCGTTTTAAATTAATATGGTTAAAATGGTAAATTTAGCTACGAAACAGGAAATTTTGTTTATATTATCGATTAGCGAATTTTTCTCTAAATAAATATTTCATTTTTAGCTCCAAATGTGATTCCAAGCCGAAGAAGACCTCGAGTAAGTGGTACAACTAGCCGATATGATGTAGGAGACTTAGTAGACATAAACTGCACATCAGCGAAAGAGAGCACTCCACCAATTCTAAGATGGTTTATTAATGACAGAGAAGTGAGTTTATTTAATTATTCTTTTCAAAATTTGCTTGTTTAACAATGATGGGGATTAAAAAGTCCGAAATATTAAACTCGACTTGTAAATGATTCAAAGCAGAGATACTGAAGCTATATGATACAAGCCCATGAGGGTTAGAGCAGCATTCAAGAAAAGTCAGAACTTCATGAAACAGTAAAAACGTATAGGAAAATGCAGAAATATATTGAAAATTGATTATAAAGAGCAAACCATGAAGTAAATTTGATCATTCTAATGATTGGAGCTTGCTGATATCATGACAACGTCTTTCATTAGAACTGCAAAAAGGGGGAATGGAAAAAAGAAATAAACAATATACAAGCTCTATTTAAAACCTCTTCATAACTTGCTTCAAACGCTGATAAAATCAGTTTTATATTCAAATGGATTTCAAATACAACAAATGCTATATTGATGCACTTAATTTTACTTCATAAATCATTAATTATTACATTGATTAACTCCTCGCAGGACATGTTTCTATAAAAATTACATTATTTAAAAAAAAAAATAAACATAATTGAATCGTCAATAAATTTAAAAACATACTTAATATTTAGTGTATATTTTTTTTGGAATGAGGGTAAGAATAAGTTGACCACTAACGACGGAAAATTAGATTATTATGGTATGCAATGAAATTGAATAAGTTTTATAATTTAAACTAGTCATTAAATATATATATATCAATTAAAATTTCAAAAATAGAATTTGTACGAAAGATAGCATCGTTTTTAATAGCTTTTGGAAGTATCACAAAATTCTTTTGAAGCTGTTTAATAGCAAGATTAGTTTTTTTTTCTTTTTTTAATTAGTTGTATTGTTACAATCATTTAAGATTTCCTTATTATTAGGAATAAAATGTTAAAATTAAATAGAAATTGAGTAGTTAATCCCATTTTGTAAAGAGATCTAAAGTTAAAAAAGTTTCGTTTATGAGATTTTATTTTGAACATAGCTCGAAATGCATATTTTAGAAAATGGACATAGCTAGAGATGATCGTTTAAGAAAATGGGGAAGGCTCGAAAAACGAAAACGATAGTTTTGTAAATCTGTTTTTGCCTTATGTTGAAGAAAACTCATCCGAATCTTCTTCTGTTGAAGAAGTTAAGTACTTAGTTTCTAAGACTCCAGTCTTAGCTGACAATTCACCATGGAAGAAACAACAGAAAAATTTGAAGAAAAAGTTTTCGTATGTTTAAAAAACTAATATTTGTGACTTAAAGATGCCAAAAGATCTGATTTGAAATCGCACAGCCTATGGAAATAACATCTCTCTCCTTCCATCCTATCTAGGCCTCTCAAACGAAACTGGTTAAGTCTAAAAATCCCGATATTATCAGTGAGTTATCAAAGTAATTCTTTAAGGCTTTGATTAATGCACTGCTTTTTGATACGAATGAGGAAATTTCTTCGGTAGAGAAAACTGGCATCAATATTTCAAATAGTATCCAGTTCATGAAGCATGTAGGTCTGACCTATCGGCTTGATCCCATTTTCTTGACAACGTTTCCTGGGACTGAGAAACAACATGGCAGATCCAAACTGAACTCTGCTTGATAAATCAATCTATATTGATAGATTTCATGGTGTTTAATACCTTATTCAGTACTTTGAATATCAAAAATACGGCCATGATCAATCTAAATGTTCTAAGACTACAATGCATGTGAAATGTGCTGAAAATCAACTTTATTATGAAAACGATTAAGATGTCAACACGCCTCCTAAAAGTTGTAATACCATTGGCAAGCACTCTGCAATTTTTCCCGAATATGCTGCTCATCCAATGAGAAAGATTCGCAAATCTACAAAAAAAGAAAACTGTAACAGCAACTAAGTTGAAAGATGGGAATAATAGAAATCATTGAAGAGCTTAAAGAACATTTGAAAATTCGAGAAGTCCAAAATTTATTTTAATCATTGAAGGACATTAATTCAGTTTTTACCTTTTTTACACCTTTTTTACCAGATATATATTCTCTAATGAAGGATGCTGTTTCAACTTTTCTCGCTATCTTCGTTCTTTTGCTACTTAATTCAATATTTTGTTGACATTTTTCCTTTGGTCATTTGAAACTGAAAGAGTTCCCAGTGATTTGAAACAGCGTAGCGACCTATTCGTGATGTAAAACACAAATGGGTAACAGATTTAAAAAAAAACTACTTCACATTTTACTAGTTACTATACTCTGCATTTATGTTATTGCAAAAGCAACGTTCCCAAGGATGTTAAAAATTTTAATGTTAGAAGTAAATTCTTAGTTTATTACAATACTTTAAAGTCAGGAAATATTTCTAGGTTAGATTGTCATATTATGTCTATATATTCTTAAAAAATAACATATTATGGTTATCCCGAATTTATTACAGTACAGAGCTGCCAACTTTCTAGGCTCTTTGGGAAAATTTCTTCATGTGTAGTTTATGTTTTAATGTAGGATTCTTCGCTTTTTAAATTTGATTTAAACTCATTTTACCACAGCGTGTAACACTACATTCACTCACCACTACATGCAAATGTCTCAAAAGTTCAATTAAAATGTCATTTTATTTAATCTATCTCATAATGAGACAATTAAAATGCAGGCAAATTTTGTCTAAAGTCTGAAAGCCCTAGTTTATTTTATTATATACCACCAAGTATTTTTTTTTCAAGAAGTGTAGTAGTTGCCAGCTATGACCGTATTAATACAGCAACGATGCCAACTGCTCCGGACACGCCAAAATAATTTTAAAAAAAACGGTAAATAACTACAAAGTAAATTTTGCAAATATTTGACTATTTTTGCTTGCTTTTTAAAAGGTATAGCATGACTTAAGTACTATAAAGTGGTGAATTTTGTTAGCCTAGGAATTACTTAGAAATAGTGGTGGATAAAAATCTATTAAATTGCATTTATTAAACCAAGAATCACTATTGATAAACTATCACTTTAAAATAGATATTTGCAGTTCGGAGCAAGTTGGCATCTCTGATACAGGGCTGGCAACTTTCTTCGTTTTTTGTAAAATTTAATTCTAGTGGTTCCTAAGTTGAAGTCTTAATGTGTTATTTTTTTATTCATTTGAACTAATTTTTCCCACCACTATAAATAATTGATTAAAAAGTACTTATGCAAAGTCCCTCTGTTTTACCTTTCTCGTGGTGAAGCATGTAATGTTTTGGCAAAATTACCGAAAATTCTGAAAGCTTTGGTTTTTAAACGTCTATCACTCTAAAAAGTATAAAGTTAATAGTTAACTACTTTTTGAGCACACTTTTTGAATTTTTAAGTCCCATGGGAAACAAGAATAATATTGATTCCAAGGACAAAATGTAAACTTTTATATAGATAACTAAGCTTACCAAACCTTTCGAATATATTGTTATTGACATTATTAAAGAAATAGATATCTATTCAATAAAAATTCGTTGAAGTGTCAACAAAATATAACTCCTTTGTTAGTTTCAGATAGAAACTCCTCATTTTCGTTTCGAGTTTACTTTCTTTAGATAACAATATTCAGTTAACTTGAAAAGATAAGAAAAATATGTCTTTTTGGATTTTTTAACTGCCGTCCTTTAACATTTTCCCCAGAGCAAAACCAGTAGAAACCAAAATAAGTTAGAGGGATATAAATTAAGTCAACCATATTCCCAAGCGTCTAGTTTTCAATTGCACTTGCCATTTAAGAAATAGAGTAAAGAAACGTTGCAGACAAAATGAAATCTATAAGTAAGACATCGGTTTTTATGTTCTGTTTAATATATAAAAGTAATAAATATTTATTAGAGCTATTTAAAGACATATAATAACTAAATATAAAGACATATAAAGATTATAATAACTAAAGTTGAAACAACGTGAAAAACTAAAATAAACGAGAAATATCATTTTACTATTTTTATAAGTACTGAGAATTAAAAGAAATAATTAAATATATAATATCTCAAAAAGCACACTTCTGTTTATTTATTTAAATAAATTGACACTAATACTACTTTTTTACTTTTGTTAGTTGAGATGATGGAAATATACTATAAAAAAGCAAGAGCTTAAGCACCCAACGTCCTTTTTTGAGGACAGTTTTATTTAAAAAATAAAAGAAAGAACGAAATGCATAAAAACTCATTGTACGAATATTTCCTGATTGATCCATTTGCCCATTTGTGCCTAGGATCTTTTAAAACCGCACACAGTTGTCTGAGTTGAAAATAAGCTGACTAATAGTGAAAAGGAGGTTATTTTTTTGTATTGATCGTAACTACTTTTGATTACAATGTAAACACGAAGAAAAAAAATGTGTGAGTTTTGTCTATTTAAATAACCTGCCGAACTTACACTTTTTTATCATCACGAACCAAGAAAAAAACAAATGTATATATTTTGGAAACACAGATTTTAAGGACAGCAATTTTTGAATATATCACAAAATTGATATATCACAAATGAATAAATCACAAAATGGATATATCACAATTGAATAAATCACAAAATGGATACATCCCAAATGAATAAATCACAAAATGGATATATCACAAATGAATAAATCACAAAATGGAGTACCATGTGATTAATATCCAATTAAAATGTTGCTGAAGTACCTGATTTTCGCTCGTGGTTTTCACGGATTGAAAACCTTTATCTGATCTATTAATTTAACTATGAAAATATAACATAAATATTTCAATTATCTGTAAGTAATTATGGTGGGGTAAATTATTGTAAATGAAAAATATAACTTCCAAAACGAACCAGTGAAGAGAAAATTTATTATTAGCAATTTGAATATTTGGTAAATATCTTTTGTGAAAAATTCGATTCACGCAATTTTATTTTTTAAACAATAATTTGCATTTCAGCAATACTAATAGTATGCATTCAATAACTATGTTATGAAAATTATAATAAGAAATTCTTAATACATTTCAGCCATCAATCCCCAGATTTAGAAACTTATATCATATGGAATTTTTCCAATTTAAAAATGT